ACCACAGGATCGGAATCCTGGGCTATATCTCTGATATGCACTTTCAAGTATAGTAGCCAGGAAAAAGGCATGTTTTAAAATCAGGCTGTCTTGAGCATTTATTTCTTTCCCATTGTTATCTTCCATGTCTTCCTCATAATTTTGGAATATATGGGTGTACAAACTCCTGTATTCACACTCTCTATAGGAATATGTCTTGCTGTTTCATGTTCAATCTTCACCATCCTCTGTGGATTGGACAGAAACCCTCTCTCTCGGGAGTTTCTCTTTTTCCTGTGTCCATACCAAGTTTTTAAGATTCTCAGGTCTTTGGACCTTGTTCATCGCATTAAAATCTCCTGTGTTTTTTTCTAATAATTTTTTACTAATGCATTTGTCTGTTTCCTGAGTGCTTTGGCTCTTAGGGTAAAATTAGCTAGAAATCCTGTCAGCAAATTTGCCTCAATCACTTGGAAAGAGATGGGTTCACCAAGTGGATCACATGTTCTGAATAATCCAGCTAAAATTCTTGAGCCTCTTAAGTCCCATGTTCCTTCTGCCCACTGAACATGAGATTAGGTGTGATAACAGGTATCTTGCAGGTTATATGTATCCTCTAATAAGAGCCAAACAGAACTGTTTCCAGGAGATACACTCCCTTGGGCTGCACTTTTCTCTTTTTTCTCTCTGAATTATAATCTCTCAAACCAAATGCTATGGTCTGAATATAAGGTTTCCCCCAAAACACTCACGTGTGAGATAATGTAAGAAGGCTTAGAGATGGAACAATTGAGTTAGGACAGCCTTAACATTTTCAACGCATTAATTTCCTGATAGGATTAACTAAGTAGTAACTATAGGCTGACATGGTGGGCCCCTGGGGGTGTACCTTTGGAATACATATTATTTCTCTGCTGAGCAGACCTCTCTCTGTACTCCCTGATGTGATGTATTGAACTGCTTCTCTCCACCACACCCTTTTGACATGATGTTAAGCATCACCTTGAGCCCTGAGGAATGGAGAAGGCTGTCTATGAAATGAGATCTCTGAAACTGTGAGCCCTTAAATAAACTTTTCCTCCTGTGTATTTGTTCTTGTAAAGTCTTTGGTCACAGCAGTGAAAAGCTGACTGAAATGCTGAAAAATTCTCTGGAAACCTTTGTGAACATATGCCTTATAAGTCCTCTGTTATAGATCTTCCAGGTCCATGATAAAGGTGCTCTCTGTACAGATTTGCACAAACAATAACACTGTCATTTCTAAGAGAATGAGATTCTCCTTTGTCTTGATTGTGGCAACCCTTTTTTGTCCTCTATCCTTTCAATGAGAATGTACCTCATCCAATCCCACATCCCATTGGAAAAGGAGATTGTGGTTCTTGGAGGAGCTTTCAAAAATTCAGAGAATAATATAGTTAAAATCTATTGAGTTCCTCTGACAAGTCAAACACTTGAATGAACGCTTTATATAGTTCAGTTGTCAATCAGATAGAAATGCCTCATGGTTCATGTCTTGTATGATGCCCTCTTCTGCCTTCTAGCCAATAGAATGTTGCAAAAACAGAGCGGGATTTTTCAAAAATGATAAATTTTGAATAAGCAAAGTAAGGATCATCTCTGTTGAGATGCACTTCATTGGAAAAAGCCCTTAAAAGACAGATTGGGTCTTTACAAGAGAGATTAGGCAAATATTTTTCTTGTTTGGTGTCTAGAATAAGTAAGATGCCATGTTATGAGAGGAACTATGGAGAGGACTATGTGGCAAGAAACTACAGGCCGCCTCCAGGAGCTGGAACAATGAAGACAAAAGCCAGAAAGAAAATGGGAACTTCAGTCCTACGATCCAAGGAACTGAATTCTGCCTACATTACACTTGCATGCAGCTTATTATTCCAGTTAATCCTACATGAGAAAATAACTCAGTTCAAACCTGCATCGCAGGATTGTGAGACCCTGAGAAGAGGACTCAGTCAAGCAGGGCTTTTTACTAATTGGCTGAGGGTTCTTTTGATCAATATGTATAGAAATTGGAAAAATACAAAGTTCAGCTCCCTTAGTGATATCAGCTATAAGACATGGATGCCAAGAGCTCTCAACCCTTACTGTTGCAACTATCCTAGTTGCTCTCAGCAGTTGTACTTAGCAACTTGCCACAGCACTCCACAGCCAGAGCTAACCATTCCTAGCAGCAAATGAAGCCAGAAGCTAACAGCTCTCAGCAGCACCACTGTTGGTCTCCCAGCAGCTCTTGACCATTCTCTGAAGTGTTTCAGTCTCTCTGGCTGCACAGTATTCTGCATTAGCAACCCTTGGTATTATCAGATTTTAGTACAACCAGTTAGCTTGCTGTATTAGTATGAGAAATTATAAATAGTCAAAATAAAACCATCCAAAAAAAAGCTTTGGGGGGTTTATACTGCACCACAGTGGGGTGAGGTATTGGGCAGTGCAGTGCTAGAGCTCCCCAATTAGCCCAGTAGGACTAAAAGGAATACTGCATATATATACAAAAGGGGCAGAGCCAACTATATGCACAGTCTCTTGCCTGTTGACCACAGCTCTCTGCACTGTAGGGCCAGGCTATGCAGGCATCCTAGGCTCACCTGTTCGACTGTCTGTCACAGGTGGAAGAGATGCTGTTTATATACCAGAGTGGCAACATCTGAAGCAGTGATAAGGTAGGCAGAGACATCCAGAGTGGTAGTAGGTCAGAATAGTCTGGGGTGGTAACATGGTCTTAAGTGTTACAACTAAAGTGAAGTGTCCTGTAGCCATCTTGAGACACCTGGACCAGCTATAGTTGTCATTATTACACCTGGACTGGACTGCTAAAGAAGCAGTCACTTTATTGGCAACTCCCATTGTTAATATTGTAGTGGTGTGAATGAAGTCAAGCTGCTTCTGCCTCCAATTTAATTTCAGAAGCAGTGGTTTTGATCAGATCCCTTTTAGATGAGGAGTCTGAGGGGATGAATGACATCATCAGCCCCTTAATCCTGCCTGGCTGAGTGCAGTGATCATGGCATGAATCATGGCAGATAACTGTCAGTCTAGTGGCCAGGCACTGGAGCTGGCAGTGGTACCATTGGAACACAGTGAGGCCACAGCAACCACAAACACTTGCAGATGTCTTTACTCATCCCTCAGGGATAGATGAGGCCATTGCCTGGTTTTGCAGGTAAAATGGTCCCAGGTCTGATCCTTATTCTACTTCCATCTTGTCCAGCAAGCTCAGGATGGTAGCAGCTGCAATGACAGTGTACCAGGGAGAGACTTGACAGCTGTCGGTTGAACAGCTGATCCAGAGATGACCTGCATCACAAATTATCTGGCAGATTTGGCTATTTAAAAGGAAAGAATAGGAAAATATATTCAGAACATTCTAAGTGCAATGATTAGAGATAAAGATACTTGTATTAATGATGGTCTGGTAACAAAGGACTTCACTTGTTATGTATTACCCACAGATAATAAAATCCTTGATTATCTGGAAGAAAGCAAGATTCAATACAAGATAACTTTCTTCTCCAGCAAATTCAATCCAGCACTTACTATTTGGCCAAAGTTTTTACAAGGAGAGACCTTCTCTTGGGGAAGATCTGGCCTCCTATTCTGTCTCAGTGCCTAGACTCATTAAACACATTTTGATTGATGTGTGTTGTTTGAAGGTAATAATTTTGTGCTAATTTTTACACAGTGATACAAAAATAACATATGTTTTAGGTAAGGAAAAGTTCAATGCTGTTCTAGCAAATACTGAAAATTGTGGGAGCATATTTGGAATCAGGCCTGAAGCTGGAAGATAGAAGAATATTGAGGAACATGACAGAGACATTTTAAAGAACCTTAAATGGGCGATTAGTAGAAACCTGGACTCAGGATGCTGAAGTGAGTGCTCAGAAGAAAGTATGGAACATGTCATCAGAACAAAAGGAAAAATATCCTTATTGTATGGTGGCAGAAAGCCTGGCAAAATTATGTCCTGGAGTTATATACATACCAGAACCTTTAAGTGATAAAATTGCTTATATATATAAGGAATTTCCAAAGTGTTGAAGTGACTCCTGATTTCTTCTTGCTGACAATAATAAAATATAAGTGGAGTGTTAAACTGAGGAAATGATTCTCAAACAAAGAGAAACCAGACCTCTGTGATGTTGGAATTTCTCATGAACTCCAAAAGGCAAACACATTAGAATCAAGAGTTTCAGTCATGATTGCAGTATATGATTGTATGATCTTTTTGTAAAAATAAGCAGGTACACAAATTACTCTTTCAAAAAATAAGATTTGCCTCTCAAATACCAATCAAACTAGAAGTCCCTGAGGAAGCTTTAGGACACTCTCTCTTTCCATCTTTTTTGATGGCTGGTGTGGGTTGTAATTATTTAAGGAACAATTTGAAATCTTCTTTGGATAGACTTTCTTTTTCATATGTTTTCTCTGAAGCCTCAGTTCCTCTAGCCTCTGTTCAGCTGAGCTATTGGTACAAAATTTATTTTAATTCTTGGAGAAAAGGAAAAAAAGTCTCATCTGATCTTTGCATTGACTCAGTGTTGGGATATTCTCTTAATGCCTAGTCAGACCCTTTACCATTCTGACTCTTCACTTCCTGCATTTCCTGAGCCTAAATATCAGTCAGAAGTGTCATCTTGAGTCTTCTCAAGCATTTACTTGGTATATACTCTGCTGTGGGAATGCATGTGGCTTTGTCATTTCCTGTATTAGGAAGCATTCAAAGTTCTACTTCCCATTATATTCTCTCTCCCTAGTTTTTTCTATCAGGTTTTTAACCCATCTACAGTTTTCCTCATTTTGTTTTTTCACAGGAAATAAGGTTAACACATTTTCCTTGTAATATTTTTATGGAATATCCTTAAAAAGTCATTTTTATGACCTAAGAGAACCCAAAGCTAAGGGGAAGAAAAAGAAAAAGAGTTTCTTTGACAGTTCCTCAAATGGCACCAGATGGGTTGAACAGATGAAATTCATGAAAAATAAGATTTTCTCTGGTCTTTTAGATTTAGGGACCAAGATTCTACTCTGGGAATAAAGACTGCTCTCTTCAACACCTCTGCTGAACAGGGGAGGACTCTGAACCAACAGTAAGTAAAAATGCCACAGCATTCCCCTACCATGTTTATGTTGCCTTTTTATTGTTTCAGCATTCACCTTGCAATCATAAGCCTTTGGCTAATTTCCAGGGTTCCAGCAAAGATGATTCTGATAGTTTCACTTGTTTGTCCAATGTTTCATTGAAAATGTAGAGCACTGGAGCCACTCACTTATCACATAAAATGTGACTCCTGTATGATTTATTTCATAATATACATAATCTGGTATCGAACTATATGTTTAAATCATATGGAGAAGATTTGAAAGTATGAAGTCTGATTGTAAGTTACTACAGAGTGACATAAATCGAGGGCTGCTCTTTGGAGCATAGACAAAGAAATACTAAAATAGGATGATTTTGATGGGCAAACAAAAGGAGGAGAGTTTTGGTAAACAGATGATGAGTGCAATTTGGGACATCTTGTTTTAATCTACCTTCAAAGGGAGTTCTGGCTGGTGAAGACCGCATCCATGTCTTAGGCTGATCACTAGACTGACTCTCAAAATGCATACTGTCATTCCTTCATTCAAGACATTCAATTTTCTTCACCCCTTTCCCTTACTGGCCAACAACAACAACCCCCAAAATTGAATGTCCTATGTCCTTAACTCCCGTTTTATTCTGTGTAGGCCAAAGGTGTATCAATCATTAGAGACACAATGAAAACATTGTATATATTCTCCTACATGCAGCTATTAGGCTGGGTTGTTTCCTTATTGTTACAGTGTTCTTTATAATTAATGAATTGCTAGTTTTTTTTTATCAGTTACATAAGGACTTTTGCCAAATCTTTCTGAAGTGATTACTGATTTTCAATTTCTCCATGCAATACTATAAATTTCTGTTTTATTTTACAATAGATTATTTTTGAATAATTTTTATATTCAAAAACAAAACAGAGCAGAAGGTAGAGAGATTTCTTATCTACCACTTTTTCCTCTACTGTATAGCCATGTTACCAACATCTGCCACCAGAATGGTACTTTTTTAAACACTGATGAATCTACACTGACACATCAATATCACCTCAAATCCATAGTTTACATTATTGTTAACTTTTGGTGTTGTACATTCTTTTGAGTTTTGACACATGTTTAATGATATGCATCCACACTTATATAATCATACAGAATGCTTTTCCTACCCCAAAAATTCTCTGTACTTCACCAGTTCATCCTTCCATCCCAATTAAACTCTGGAAATATACTTTTACTATTTTCATACTTTGACTTGTCCCAGAAAATTGTGTTATTAGAACCATATAGTAAATAGTATTTTCCGGTTGACTTTCTTCACTGAGTACTACACATGTAAGGGTCCTATACATCTTTTCAATTTTTCATAATAGATTTTATATTAGTGCTGAATTACATCCCATCATCTACATATGCCACAATGTATTTACCCATCTAACTACTGAATAAAATCTTTTGTTATCTTTAAGTTTTTGCAATTGTAAATAAATCTTCCACAAACATCTGTGTACAGGTTTTTTTATGGATATGGTTTCAACTCCTCTGTATGAATATCAAGGATTTTTACTGCTGAGCTCTACATATTTTTCTTTTGATGGCCCATTAGTCCTTCCTGGATGTTTAAAAATCTGTGGGTGACATTTTCCTTCCTCTGAGTGAAGGATGTGGGGAAAATGACACCTAAGACAGTATGTGGTCTGGGGTAAAGAAGAGAAAAGAAAAAAACAAAAAATTTAATCCTTCCCATTGGTCATTTCCCTGCAGCAAGACAGACCCTGGAAAGCAGATAGCCATTAACCTAAGAATATCAACCTTGCCCCCATGACAATACCGTGACCCTGGGAGGGCAAGGCAAGCACTGGACCCTGACCTCTAACCTCCATGCCTGCCCTGTAAAAACACTGCCTAACAGAAACTGTGACCAGTAAAAACAAGTTCCAGATGTTCACAACCTACCCCTGGCCAGTTGAAGTTTTCGCAGACTAAATGTAGTCTATGTAAACCCATACACCTCCCATAATGGGTGCCATTTTCCATCCAGGAAGTGTGCCCAGAAGCTCAGATTCCTGTCTGCACTGCTGTGTAAAGGTTTTCCTGAATTCATGAGGTCTGTAACTGTTTCAGTCATTTTGTGCTTGCACTGAAGAATGCAATATTTTATATCTTTTACTGTGCATTTTCTAGTGGTGAATCCTCTTATTTTTTGTTTTCAGTGTTCACTTTGTACCATAATTCTTCAAGATTATATTATTTTGTATAGAAATTGTCTGTTATTTTCTTTCAGGGCATTAAAGACTCCATTCTCTTCTTTTGGCTTCCACTAGAGCTGCACAGAAGTCAGCTCTCTTTACCAGGTTTTTGAAAAACTCATTATTTCTATCTTTTTGTCATCTTATTTCTTATTTTATGTCATTTTTTAAAGTTTCTAGTAATTCTGAAAATAAATTCCTTTTATGTTTCTTGCATTTTTAAAGGTCTTAAATTTTTTCTTTAACATGTAATGGGAAATTTCATTCATTTTTTAAAATACCTCTTAGTTGTTGATGGATGTTTATTTTATTTATTTATACATGGTGCTGAGAATCAAACCCAGTGACTCACACATGCTAGGCAAGTGCTCTACCACTGAGCCACAAACCCACAAACTCATTCATTATTTATTCAAATTATTTACCTCCTTTTTCAGATAGATACTTTCCACTACTGAAGAAGCTTTTTGATGGTCTAAAGATTTGGGCTTAAATTTTTATTTATTGGAAATTTTAATGATGTTGTAGAATATAGGAAGCACAAGATGAAATGAGTATGATATTCTGTTAGTCCACTTTGCATCGTGGTAACAGAATACGTGGGATGGGATAATTTATGAGGAATGGAAACTTATTAGCTCAGAGTTTTGGAGGCAGGAAATTTCAAGATCAAGTTTCCAGCTTCTGAGAAGAAATTTCTTGCTGGGTAATCACACAGCTGAAAGCAGAAGAAAAAGAAGTAAATAGGGACTTATTCACTGTTTATAATGTCATTAATGACACCTGCGAGGGCACCACCCTCTTGACCTTAAATTTCCCAAAGGTTCCACTTCACAATACCATTACAAAATATCTGAATTCCAACATGGGTTCTGGAGGTGACAAATATTCAAACGATAGCATTCTACACTCAGCCTCTCAAACTCATGCCCCTATCACATATAAAATACATTCATCCCCTCTTAATAATTTAAAAATTCTTTATTAATTTTCTTATTTATATATGACAGTGGAATCCATTACAATTCACATTACACATATAGAGCACAATTTTTCTTATACCTGGTTGTATACAAAGTATATTCACACCACTTAGTGTCTTCATACATGTACTTAGGTTAATGATGTCCATCACATTCCATCATCATTGCTAATCCCCTGCCCCTGTCCCTTGCCCTCCAACCCCTCTGCCCTATCTAGAGTTCATCTATTCCTCCATGCTCCCTCTCCCTACCCCACTATGAATCAGCCTCCTTATATCAGAGAAAACATTCACCATTTGTTTTTTGGGGATTGGTTAATTTTTCACTGATATACAGAAATGCCTTTGATTTATGGATGTTGATTTTACATCCTGCAAATTCACCTAGCATTATCTTCTATAACTCCATCCATTTACCTACAAATGCCATGATTTTATTCTCTTTTATTACTGAGTAATATTCCATTGTGTGTATATGCCACATTTTTTAATTGATTCATCTACTGAAGGGCATCTAGATTGGTTCCACAGTTTAACTATCGTAAATTGTGCTGCTATAAACATTGATGTGGGTGTGTCCCTATAGTTTGCTGTTTTTAAGTCTTTTGGGTATAGATTGAGGAAAGGGATAGCTGGGTCAAGTGGTGGTTCCTTTCCCATATTTCCAAAGAATCTCCATACTGCTTTCCATATTGGCTGCACCAATTTGAGTCCCACCAGCAATGCATGAGTGTATCTTTTTCCCCACATTCTCGCCAACACTTATTGTTGTTTGTCTTCATAATAGATGCCATTCTGACTGGAGTGAGATGTTATCTTAGAGTAGTTTTAGTTTGCATTTCTCTAACAGCTAGACATGATGAACATTTTTTTCATATATTTTTTGATTGATTGTATATCGTCTTCTGAGAAGTGTCTGTTCAGGTCCTTGGCCCATTTGTTGATTGGGTTATTTGTTTTTTTGGTGCTTAGCTTTTTGAGTTCTTTATATACCCTAGAGACTAGTGCTCTATCTGATGTGTGAGGGGTAAAAATTTGCTCCCAGGATGTAGGCTCTCTGTTCACCTCACAGATTGTTTCTTTTGCTGAGAAGAAACTTTTTAATTAGTTTGATTCCATCCCATTTATTGATTCTTGGTTTTAATTCTTGCACTATTGGAGTCTTATTAAGGAAGTTGGGCTCACCATGCACAAAAGTTAACTCAAAATGGATCAAGGAGCTTGATATCAAATCAGAGACTCTGCATCTGATAGAAGAAAAAGTTGGCTCCAATCTACATATTGTGGGGTAGGGCTCCAAATTCCTTAATAGGACACCCATAGCACAAGAGATAATAACAAGAATCAACAAATGGGACTTACTTAAACTAAAAAGTTTTTTTTTCTCAGCAAGAGAAACAATAAGAGAGGTAAATAGGGAGCCTACATCATGGGAACAAATTTTTACTCCTCACACTTCAGATAGAGCCCTAATATCCAGTGTATACAAAGAACTCAAAAAATTAAACAATAAGAAAACAAATAACCCAATCAACAAATGGGCCAAGGACCTGAACAGACACTTCTCAGAGGAGGACATACAATCAATCAACAAGTACATGAAAAAAAGCTCACCATCTCTAGCAGTCAGAGAAATGCAAATCAAAACCACCCTAAGATACCATCTCACTCCAGTAAGATTGGCAGCCATTATGAAGTCAAACAACAAGTGCTGGTGAGGATGTGGGGAAAAGGGTACACTTGTTCATTGCTGGTGGGGCTGCAAATTGGTGCGGCCAATTTG